TTTCCTCTATGGTTTTCTATGTACATACCTGTTTTGTTTCTCCATGTTTTGTTTGAAGATATATGTGAATGACTGCATATATTTCTATGAGTATCCTAATGTTCATATTTTAAAATCTGCCCGACTTTTTTTTAATATTTGTGATTTTTAAAAAAAGATTTATTTATTTATTTATTTATACAAGCACTAGGGTAAAGGCCAGATGTATGGGAGGGTGAGAGAATTCATCAGAGACAGAGCAGGGAGCAGAACAGGCAGAAGGACCGAAATACACTGCTGAGGGGAGGAGCAGGTGAGTCAGAAGAGTTCTGCCGCGCCATATGGGTTTCTCCCTGTCCCGCCAGGAATCGAACCAGCGCTGCAGAGGCTGCAGACATCTTCACAGCACTGCGTTCAACCTGCTGCGCCACCGGGGAGGCCCCCTACTAACTTACATATAAATTTTATGTAGTAGGAATGCATGGTCCAAATGATTTTAACATCTTTTGAAAATTAGGTTTTACTTGTCTTTTTATGTTCATCTGTAGCACACCCTCATCCTTATTTCTGTACTTACACTTGTACACTTGGACTCTACGGCAAAACCCAAAACAAATCTTTGAGAACTTCTTCCCTAGTGATTTTAGGAATAGTGTAGACGTAATCACCAAGGTTTATAATATGTTTGTTCAGCTCCAGATCACGAGGCTAAATAGGTTCTTTCTAGCATCATTATGCTCAGCTTCCTCAAACAAGACCGAGGTAGTAGCCAGCAGTAGCAACTTTTATTTTTCTTTTTTAAAGCTTCTTTTCTGCAAGTGAAAACAATAGGGAAGAGCCACATTTTAGCTTCAGATTTCAAGCACTAAACCTGGCTCTGGTACATAATCATGTGTAATAACTTTGTCACTCCATAGGAATCATTTCTCAACCTCTACTACCCACTTCTAGACCAAGAATCTAGGGTTCCTACGGTTTCATCTTTACTACCAATTTACATTCTTGCTACAGAGATGCTCAGCTTTTTTGAACCTGGCTATGTATGGTTTGGTTCACTTTTTTTTCTTTTTAAGATTTTATTTATTTATTTTTGCACAGAACTAGTTAGGGTGCAGACCAGAGGCGTGGGGGCAGGCAAGGTGAGAGGATTCACCAGAGACAGAGTGGGAAGCAGAACAGGCAGATTTTACTAAAATTCACTGCTGAGGGGAGTACTGACGAGACAGGAGAGGTGTGCTTCACCATGTGGGTTAGCTCCCAGGTGGGATCTAATTCAGACTATCGTGGTGGTAGCGCTGAGACAACTCCTACACCACCAGGCAGGCCCTGGTTTTGCCCACTTTTTTATTTTATCTAGTGGTAGTAGTAGTATGTGCTTGGAGAAGATACATCAAAGCATAAAATGACACCTTCTCGATCAATAGTCTACATGATACACACAAACACACACACATTTCCTCCCCCTCTCTCTTAAACACATATAACAAAACCGGAAAAACCCATACATTCTTTCAGGTCCTATGTAACTGAACTTTTTCCATTTCTACTCCCCCCGCAAAAAAAATTTACCTCAAAAGAACACATTTTTAGTGATATTAATGATTAAATATAAAATATTACTATCTTCCAGCAAACTATTGCAAATTATGGTTCAAAGAACATTATATAATTTACGTAGATCTTATTTCAAAGAACCAAAGAACTAAGAGCCACTCTTTGCAGCTTGGAATTCAATTCCTTCTTATGAAAATCCAGTTACAACTTATTAAAACTCAAAATGTCTTTTTTTGGGGGGAATGGAGGATGAATGACTTTTAGAATAGCCTGAGAGTCGTGAATAAAGAAAAACATTGCTGTGTTTATTTAGAGAGTATTACCCCTTGGAGCCAGCTTTTGCACTAATGCATTTTACATTAGTGTGCCGCATCAGGAAATCCTGACTTTTTGGTGCCAAGGGGGTAATTAATATCAGTTCATGTTTTCAAAATGGTTGTGTTTATGTGGGAATGAGGACTGAGCACTAACATGTAGAGCTTCAAGTATGAAAGCTTGCTGTGAAGCGAGATCTTGGGAAAGAATGGAATACTGAAATTAATGAACAGGAAATCAGATTTCAATGGATATAATGGTATTAGTACTGAAAAGAGAGCCACAGCCACACTTCCTTACTCTTAATTTACTAAGCATTAAAAGAAGTAATTCCCTAGCATAGTCATATTGATAGAATATAAAATGCTGATAGCGATCAACAGAATTCTGAACCAGACATCAAAACCAAAAGGTTTTTAAAAATTTGTGTACTAGATACATAGGAAAATCAATTATTATTCCAAAGTATCCTTTCATAGCAACAGAGCTACACACTTAAAGATATAAAACTCATTATATTTGACCTAAGCTGAAAAGTAAGAGCCCTTATGGGTACAAAATAAAAAATTTTAGTATGTTTTTTCCTGAAAAGTTGACAGAACTAGAATCAAGGCACATACATCACATAGAGAAAGTCAAAAAACAATAGAAAGGGCAAGAAAGCATTAGTGAAAAAAACAAAGTAAAGTGGTAGAAGTCAAAATAAAGCTAAAAACCTAGGAATTCATGAGGTCCTACTTGACACAACTCCCAAAATAAGCACTTGGAAAACATGGTGTTTATAAAATCTGTAACACAGATGTCCAAAAGTGGTAAGTATGAAGTTTACTTTACCAATACTTTAAAATTACCTAAACCTATTATTACTATATATAATAAATTCACTCGTGATGGAAAGCAAATGTTTATAAAAATACAAAGAATTTTGTCCTAGTTCATTAAGAATATAAACTGAATAATTATGAAGTATACTATATACAATACACTAACTTGTTATTCCTAAAAATAATGACTTCTCACAGACTATGGTAGTACAAACTGGCCATCCACTCCATGACCCTCCATGAGATTACAGTTATGTATTTACTACATATTAACATTTTGGTCAATGATGGGCTGCAGATATAATGGTGGTACCAAAATTCCTATTGTTCAGTGACTTCGTAGCACACGCTGCCAGTGTACTACATGGACAATCAAGATGTCATGGACAACCCAGTTCCTCTTCCAAGATGCCTCCCATCCTCCAACCCCCACCCTGAATTGACAAGCTAGTGAAATAGAAATATTTCTTAATAATATTCACACAACAAAATCATTGACACATTTCTTGGAATTTATCTCCATTGTTAAGCAATGCATGACTGAACAGGCTTTGTTGTTACAACAAATAGATTCGTAAGCTAGAAGTGTTATTGCTCTTATTTCAAAGCCTGTAGACTAGGTTTCACTAGGCCATTCAAGGAACTTGTGATTCTGTCTAGTTAGCACTGCCATTTTCTATTTTTCTAACTCAGAGGGCCAAAGCTCTCTATGTCATGTTCCAGTCCGTGAGAGACAGGAAAGAGAAAATGGAGCGTACCTTTAAATAAAACATTGAAGATACACCGATCATTCCAATGTACACTCCTCTGGTTGATTCTAACATCATACGACCACACCCCATTGCAATGGAAGCTGTTAAATGTAGTCACTAGGCGGCCATGATCCTACCCAAAATTGGAGTTTTTATGAGAACACTGGGGAAACACTATTTGCTTAGAGACCAAAAGATGATGAAAATGTTTCAGAATACTCAGGATTTTTTGTTCACTTATTAAAAAAATATATACACACCTATCCACATATAGCAGTGCATTTAATACATGTACATATGTATGTATCTGTACATGCATGTGTTTATATTATCTCTACCATTTTCATTCTCATTTTCCAGATTAAGCAATAACTTACCCTATCACTCTGTAAGTCTTTATTGAATAATGAAAATCATTTTGCATTGTCTATTTCGAAGGCTTGGATATTTTAATAGAACATTTCCTATTTATTTCTATTTTTCTTGTAAAAATCAAATTGAGATACTGTGGACAACTATGGAGATAATTAGTAGGGGACAAGAAATTAGAGCTTAAAATTTTAACAAGCAAAAATCTCTAAGAGATTCTAGTTATACTATATAAAGACTCTTTTTGGGAATTATCTTATTATTAAGAAAACTTGCTATTAAGTCATTGTTTATATTCTGGCAGTTAAATCTTAAACAAGAAAAAACACCTTATACAATAAAAAACTATCACCTTGTTGATGGGAAAAAGTCTGTTTTATGCCAATAAAATAGACTTAAATGAATTTAACTAGCCTATGAAATGACATATACCAAGCATGCCATAACTATAATTAAATGTTTTGAATAAGAGAATAAGATAAAATCTCAAATCAGTTGGTTTATTCAATAAAGGTTGAAGCAAGTGGTTATCCACATAGGAAAAAAAGTTAATGTTCTAAATCATACCATGTAATAATTTTAGAAAAATGGAAGCATACTACATAAAAATCTTTAAACTTTAATACAGTGAAAGACATTATAACCAAAGTTTAAAAATAATGGACAGAAGAGATGTGCAATATATACAAGAGAATAAGGAATAGGTACATGTAGAGAAAGCCATTTGTAATTATTTTTGTATAATTATTTATCTCTTACACACCAAATATATCAACAGAAAAATGGACAAAAGGTATTTCACAGCAAAAAATAACTTTATTTCACTAAGCATTTGAAAAGATATTCAACTTACAAATAAATCACAAGTAATATATATTAAATTATGGGCTGGCATTTTTTAAAGCCTACCAGAATTGCAAAAATTAACAAGGGTAACAATCTGGTATAGGCAAGAATATGCTTCCTAGGGGAACACCTTTTAAAATACTCATAGTCTTGCACCTAACATTAGATATTCAGTGTATAGAAATACAACAATAAGCTTACAAAAAAAAAGGCACTTCCAGATAGTTTATGAAAGCTTTGATTTTGCAAGAGCAAAAAGCTAGAAACATAGGTTATTTCTAACTAAAAAAAGTTGCAAAATAATATTTATTCTACAGTTCATTTTTGTTCAAAAAGACAAAACAATAATAATATGCCAACAAATAATGTTGGCATATGTGTAAGAATGGAAGTACAGAAGAAATGTACCAAGTCTTAAATAATACTTTAGGAGATGAAATGAAATTGTGGGAAAAAATTATTTTTTTCTATATGATCTGTTTCTGCTGTTTTAATTGTTTCATGAATGACTTTTTAAATGAGAGAAAAGGCAGTGATTTACATACACAGATTCTGAGATGGCTTCTAGGGAAGGATTTTTTGAAACAGTAATATTTGTATTTGAGAGATCCTCACTGAAATAATTAAGTGACACAGTGTTTGCTTCAATTTGTGGGCGTTGTACACACAGTGCTAAGTGGATAAGTTGCATTAATGGTATTTCTCTTTCTACTTAAGTCTACATTTAAAGATTTAATCAAAAAAATTAAAAACAATGTGCCATCATAACGCCACAGATTAATACTAACATATTCTCAAACAACCAAACCAACACAGTTAAATATTGTAAAATGTTGATCAATAATCACCCTGCTCTATTCTTAGCAATAAATTACTTCTGGAATTTTGGGGGATGGTATATTTCCTATTATAATACATTTTTATTAAAGAAAATTTTCAGTTTTGGAATATATAGTCTAAATGGGAATGTCAAATTTGGTGCATGTTACTGGTAAAGTTATTCTTCTTACTAGGTATCAAAGGAATAAGGTAATTTTTGTCACCACCAATTAAAAACTTTTACGAAATAGGACTGTTATAAAACAATTAAAACTTGCAAATGCACTAGTCTCCAGGAAGAAAGTCCTGGAGGAAATTCTGCTTATTAAAATTGCAATTTTAGTTTCCATTAAAAGGAGAATAAGACAACAGAAGATGGGTTGGCAAGACAAATTATTTCTTAATGTCAGTTGAGCTTATTTCAAATGAGATAACATATCTACACCAGGTTGGGTTCAGCACAATTTTGTCTCCTCAACTCATTTATCTAATTCAGTCATCTTGATTATAGCCTCATGGACTTCATTTTCAGAGAAAGAATTCTGTAACAAACAGCCCACACAACATGCTGATTACTGAACAGTTAATTCTAATTAACTTGGGCATGGCAAGAGAATTTTGATAAAGTCCTAGAATACAAACATAGTCTGCTTATACTGGACTAACTTATAAAAAAAACCACAGCATAGTCTCTAGACAAAACATGAGAGTCAAAGAGATCTAATTTAAAGAAACAAATGAGAAAATTAAAATCACAAATAATTTATTTTTCCGTTAGAGTTGATACAGTTTTAAATAGCAACAAAGTACACAGTGGTGGAAAATTGGCACAGAACCTATAAGCATTTCAATCACAACAAAGATCTCCATTCTTTATCTGTTCACCCTTGTTGTCCATTTTCTACTGACCAAGTTTAAAAAAAGCCTATTCTGACCTTAAGACACATATACACTCTCTCATTCACACACAGAGACACGCTGAAATTCCTTCTTTTGATTACAGTATGTTGAGAACAGTACATTTTACTTATACAAATTTATGGGATCCCTTCTGTTCTGTTTCCAGTCAGAAGTGGGAAAAATCAGTTCAATTATAAAGAAACATCATATTCCCTGGACAGAGGCAACTGTGATAAAAATAGGAACTTACCTTTGGGCTAGATGTTTTCAAATTATACTTAAATAAATGTGGTTATAAACTTCTCAATGCATGATTTCCTGCCCAATGCAATATCCCTGAATTTAGTTAAAATAAGCAAAGTAGGCATAGGGCAGTTTCAAATAAAGATTAAGTATGTTAGACTAATAAACAAAAGTAATCTAGAATGCAACTTGTATGCTTTTAATATACATAAGAATAAACCTAATTAATAGCATTTTCCTAAACATCTCTTTGTGTCTATTAACGAACACAAAAAGGGGGGAACTTAAAAGTGACTCTTTATAAGTGATATTATTTCCGGTTAAGAAAGTTGAAATAAAAAAAAAAAAAGTTGAAATAATGGTTTGGAAGGATTCCTGAACTATTATATAAACCAATTATCCTCCACATGTTAAAAAAAAAAAATTGAATCAATGTTGACTCTTCTTTGATATCATTTATAAAATGCTCTGATATTACTAAGTTCCCTGATTACTCAAACAAGGTAAAATTAACACTTTCATTTTCAGTTATTGCTATTTTAGGAGAGGACTGCCACTTCATTTACATGAAACTATTACTATTATTTTCAGGTCCAACAAGAAATATTTCTTATTGCCTCATGTTAAAACCGTATTACAAATGATCTTTAGAAAAAGGATTTAATCCACAAAACTGGAAGGCTTTTAAAAAATGTTTTTTCACTCAAAACTGTATCACAGTGCCCTTGATTATCTAAGTGATAAAGGGGATCTGAATTTCCTCTACATAACAGTGGACATATGGTGTGCTTTGTCTTTTCCCTCACCTTTTATAGAACACCATTTTGAGACCTACACAATCAACCATCCATCAAACTCCAATCCTCATTAACAGAGGATTTTTGATTCTGTCCGGTGCGTAGTGTACCATTTTGCATATTCACCACATGAAATAAACATAATATACAAAATATTGCTGCTGTAAAAAGTGTACATTACCCTCTTCCCCTTACAAAAGAATCTGTGGAAAAGTATTAAATTCCCTTAACCTTCATAAACATACAAAGCTGTTCACACCTTTCAGTCTGTAACAGTCCATTTGAAACACAGTTCCGAAATCATTGCAAATTGGTTATATGTCATTGTATTTTCTGTCCAATGTTGCCATCTAGAGTAGAAATGTGAAATCAAGAGTATTTTTGAGCTACTAAAGCCTTTTACAACTAAGCCACAAAGGCTGCTCACTGATGAAACAGCCATTTATCCACAAGATTTTTCCAAAAACAAGATGGAATGAAAGGATCTCTATACAAGGATGTGTCCACAGTGCTGAGGTGACAATATGGCTGCTAATAGATACTGGCTATTGGAATGTAAGTATTTTTTCACTGCTGGTAATTTCCATACTGTCCCTAAAAGATAAAAGAACAACACAAAATTAGATAATCATTTGACCATAGCATGACCACAATTAAAATAAAAATAAATCTTATAATACAAAAGCACATCATCTGCAACAATTTTTTTTTTTTTCATACTTAGGTATATAGCATCTGTTATTTTTTCTGACACTTTATTCAATAGCAAATGACTTTGGAGACCAAAATATGCAAGGGATTATTACATTTTCAACCTAGAATAGTATCTGTCACATAGTGAGAATTTAAGAGTTTGGTGACTGAATTGAGCAAGAATGAGTGAAGAGTTCTCATTCTAAATTCTGCTTTGATATATGTTAGTATATAAATTATATGCTAGTGTGACAACTGTGTGACTGTTCAGTTTACAATTATTGTTATGAATGAACATCAAGAGAGTATTTGGGATAAGTGGCAAGTGAGGATGAAAAGGTAACTGGAAAATAAGGGAAAAAGAAACTTCTATCCATACTATAAAGTATGTGGGTCTTTCCTGGAACGCAACAAATTATCACCGGAAGTATTCAGACAGACAGCTGATACATAAAATCAGGGGAAGTTTGTTTTGGTTTTGTATTTTTAATAAGGTAGACTCAAAGACCTATAGTCTGACAGGTCAGGAAGACAGAAAGTATAGATAAAAAGGGGTGGTAAATAAAGTAGTAAAATTCTATAAATAATAATATCTAGTATACAAGTGTTAAGGTTAGCTTTTGAAGAACAGAAGGATCACCTTATCCTCTAAAAATTAGAGGAAAAAGGTAGGAGAAAGACATACAAAAAATTTTCTACTAAACATTTTTTAAATGTTTAAAATAGATATTCATAAAAACACCTATTTTCCAAAAATAGGACTCACTGGAAACACAAAATCAGTTAATTGTTTCCTTGACTAAATCTCTCTCCAATTCTATTAATTACTTTGTATCAGGAAATATTCTAGGGCCTCCCTGGTGGCACAAGGGGTTAGGATGTAACCTCTGAAACTACCTGCAGCCACTGAAGCAAGAGTTAGATCCCCGGCTGGCCAGGGAACAACTCACATGGCGCAGCAGACCTCTCCTGACTTGCCTGCTGCTCCCCTCAGCAGTGTATTTCAGTTGATCTGCCTGTTCTGTTCCCCACTCTGTCTCTGGTGAATCCTCTCACCCCCAACACCTCTGGCCTGCACCCCAGCTCTTGTGTGCATAAATAAATCTTTAAAAAAAAAAAAGAAAATATTCTAGAGTTGAAGTACTTCTGTATCATTACTAGTACAATATAATCTACCATTTCCATAGAAACAAACACCTGAAAATCTTTGAAGAACTGTTCAAAGTTTTGCTTTAAATTTAAAGTTATGCTTTATTTAAAGTTATGCTCATCTTGAAACATTTAGGAGGAGAGTATCAATCTACGATTCATTTTAAAATACTCTGGAAAAAAAGAGAGGAATATGTGTATATATACATATATATACACACACACACATACACACGCGCGCGCGCACACACAAACATATATATATACAGCATTGGCTTTAAAATATTGATCATTGTTAAAGTTGGTTGGTGGGTACACAGGGATTCATTATGATTTTTTTTTTGTATTTGTGTAAAGATTTTTCTAACTACAAAGGTAAAAATAAGAAATAAAAGTCAATGCTTACCTCACAGAAACTTACTATTAGACTACTTAAGTAATATAAAACTGAGTTTAAGTCCCAACTCTAGTAACTTTCTATTTATATCTGGAAAAGCCCTCTGACAATCATGTTCTTTACCTTTGGGATAGCAACACTTTCATCTCTAAATCTCAATTTTCTTCCCATTCATGGCTGCATTAATTCCTAACACATACGCTTCTTAGGACACTTAAGAGAGGACATGAGAAAAGTTTTAAAAATTATAAATAATTGTAAATAAGCAAGTCTTAATGCTGAAAGGAAATGGTCCCCCAGTGAATGTGTGTAATAAGATACTAACGATGAAATATATTGCACATATAGTGAATGATGTGAAAACACAATAGAAGTTAAGCACTGCTATAATTTATCTATTATATTATAAATGACTTGAGAATAGGGACAAGGTTTTATCCATTTTTATGTTCCAAGTATTAAAGAGTGTCTGACATATAAGACGTCTACAAATAATACATGACAAACATATGCTAACAATTATACTATTTATTAAGCAAATATATGCTCATTACCATAATTTGAAAAATAGGGGAAAAAAATCCAAGTATGTAAGTTTTATGAGTTCAGAAATGAAAAGAATACGTGTGCCTTAAAAAAAGGTAAGATTTGAATACTGAAGAAAAGGGGGCATTCAAATAAAAGGACTAGCTAAAATGAAAGCATGGAGAAAAAGTAGAAGAAATCTTAGGGAAGTGAAAAATAAAAAAATACAATAATTAAGATTAGAAGCTAATAATTATTTACCAACACAGCCTGAAGTAATAGAAAGAAGTCTAGAGAATATTATCAGTAACTCTTAATATATCTCAATAACTAAGACCTTACCAAGTACCATGTCAGACACTTTAACAAGGATTTTGTGTCCATCTATATTCTATATAGTTAATATTATTCTCCCTTTCATAGATGAAGATATTGAGGCACTGAGACCATTGAGAATTTAAATAACTGCACACTTGATCATACTGCTAGGACCAAATCAAATCACAAGTAAGCTCCTAAAAAGTATAAGGTATATTTGCAAATGTTAGCAAATTTCAGGGTTAAAAGTTTGGGTTTGGGAGCTAGACAGCAATTACTATTAACTCTGCAAAAGAAGTTTCACAGCTCCTGGTTTGGTAGAGCAGCTGAGGATGCCTGGCTCCATTGGACAAGATGGTCAACCTCAGCACAGATCAGGTTTCATGTACCAATGGGGTTTGGGTTTTGAAAACAGCACCAATTCTGAAAACACACCAATCAAGTTTCAAATCTGTGAACCTTATAAGTCATAAAAAGCCAGGGCAACAGATGATTCAGACACCCTTGTCAGAGACTCTCACCTGCGCATACTTTTGCTTCTGATCCTCTGGCACTGCCACCCGACTGCCACTCCTGCTTCTGGCACAAAGGGTACTGCCTCCTGACTAGCACCATTGGCCTGTGCCCATCAACTTAAAGAGATGTTTGTTGCTGGTCTGTGGCCTGATACTGTGTCATCCAGTGCCACTGGCCTGTACCTGTCACCTCTAAAAGCTCTCCACCACTGCCTGATCCTTGCTTGGCACCACTGCCCTGGGCCCAGTGACTCCAAGAGCTGTTGTTCACTGCTGTCTGATGCTCAACATTACTTGCTCACTGGTGCTGCTGGCCTGTGGCCATACCACCTCTAGAGCTGTCTCCTGTTGCTATTGTCCAGTCTTCCTCTGGGCTGCTGCTGATTACCTCCAGTTGCTACCATGAGTTGGGGTCTGGACCACCACTTATCAGTGTGTCACCAACTCAAGGCTCTTACTGAAAGGACAATGCCATCACTCATGAGCAGCTTTTATCATAATTTAGCAAATGTACTCCTTGGTATTTCTCTATCGATAAATGAGTAAAATTTAAACCTCCACATAGAAGTTTAAAGCAACTTTATTTATAATTGCCAGAACTTGAAAGCAACCAAGATCTTCCAGTAGGTGAATGGATAAACTGTGGTACACCAGCCATGAAATATTATTCAATGCTTTAAAAAATGTTTTCCTCACTACTCATAATAAATAAGATATGGAAACAACTTAAAACCTGTTAATAGATGAATGGATTAAAACATGCAGTAAATAGTCATGAATTGCTTAATGATATGGATATATTGTAAGAAAGGTGAAGTTAGGTAACTTTGTTGTTGTGCAATTATCATAGAATGTAACTGCACAAAGCTAGGTGGTATAGTCCAATACATACTTAAGCTATATGGTGTGGCCTATCAGGACCACCTTTGTATGTGTGGTCTGTCAATAACCAAAATGTCATTAATCACTACGACTACACACACACACACACACACACACACACACACACATACTGGACTACAACTCTGCTATAAAAAAGATGGAATTTTTCCATTTGCAACAACATGGATGAAGGTTGAGGGGCTTATGCTAATAAGCCAGAAGGAAAAAGACAAGTACTCAATGGTTATAATTATGTGAGAAAGAAATAGCAAATGAACAAACAAAACAAAAACAAATTCTGAGATTCTGACAAAAGAATGACTATAGTAAGAACTATTAGAAATAATAAATTAGTAAAGTGGTTAGCTACGAAATCAATATAAACATCAGTTCCATTCCTATATGCAAACAAATCAGAATAGAAATAAATCAAGAAAACAATCCCATTTATCAATGAATCAAAAAGAATTAAATACCTAACAATGAACTTAACAAAGGAGGCAGAAAACTTGTACGTTGAAAACTATGAGACGTTATTGAAAGAAAAAGGAAATGACACAGAGATAGAAAAATATTCCTCCTCGTGGGTTGGAAAAATTAATGTTAAAATATCCATCTTACCCAAGGCAATATATAAATTCAATGCAACCCCTATCAAAGTTTCACTGGCATTCTTCAAAGAAACAGAGCATATATTCCTAAAATTATATAGAATCACAAAAGACCACAAGGAGCCAAAACATTCCTGTCAAAAAAGGAATAGAGGTATCACACTCTCAGATTTCAAACTGTACAAGTTTACTAATCAAAATAGTGTGGTATTAGAATAAAAAGACACAAAAACAATTGAATATAATAAACCCTAATTTATACGAACATTTCATTTTCAACAAAGAATACAACTGAGTAAGGAAAGTCTCTTGAACAAACAAATGCTTTGTGAAAACTAAATAGCCACATGCAAACAATAAAAGTAGATCATTATCTCACACCATACACAGAAGCTAATTCAAAATGCATTAAAAACTTGGTTATAAAACGTGAAACCATAAAATACATAAAAGAAAGCAGAGGCAAAATACTTTACAATATTGGCTTCAAGAATGTCTTCAGGCACTCAACTTCAACGACAAAAGAAACAAAAGCAAAAAATAAATAAATGGGATGACATCAAACTAAAAAGCTTCAGCACAGTGAAAGAATATATTATTAAAATGAAAAGCCATCCTATCAAATGGAGAAATGTGAAAATATGTATGCATCGTACATATATATCTCACAACAGGCTAGTATCCAAGATCTATAAAGAAAAAATAAAAAGAGAAAAAAACAAAAACCCCAATCATCAAAAAATGGGCATAAGAATTAAAATGAGACTTCTCCAAACAAGACATAAAGTGGCTTATCAAGTACATGAAAAATTGCTCATCATCTCTTATCATGGAAATACAAATTAAAACCACAGTGTGATACCACCTCACAATCAAGAGAATGGTTCATATGAAAAAAGACCAGAAACAACAGGTGTTGGTGAGAGTATGGAGAAAAATTTAACTCCCATCAGAAACAGTAAGAGGGTCTTCAAAACATTAAAAATGGACCTATCATATGAACTAGCAATCCCACTTCTCGGTATCTATCCAAAGAATGTGAAAACACTAGTTCAAAGGGATACCTGCATGCCCCTATTCATTGCAGCACTATTTACAATAGCCAAGTTATGGAAACAACCAGAGTCCCAACAACAAATGAGTGAATTAAGACAGATAGATAGGGCCTCTCTGGTGGCGCAAGAGGGTAGGACACGACCCGTGAGGCTGTCCGCAGCCAGTGCAGCAAGAGTTCCATCCCCAGCCAGGGGATGGGACCTCTCCTGCCTCACCCGCTGCTCCCCTCAGCAGTTTGTTTCAGTTAGTCTGCCTGCTCTGTTCCCCACTCTGTTTCTGGTGGATCTTCTCATCCCCCACACCTCTGGCTTGTACCCCAGTTCTTGTATACATAAATAAATAAATCTTTTTTTTTAAAAAAAAGTAGATAGATGGAAAGATACATAGAAAGACAGATAAAGAGAGAGATATGCTAAAGTAAAGGTGAGCATTTGTAAAAGCACTGATACAGATGGATTCCACATCTTAACATGAAGGGGATCAGAGAAATTAAGAGGTACAGAATAGGTAGAGATATTTAGAATAGCTAAGGGAAATATGGTGGGGGTAAGAACCAGGGAAAAAGAGTAAAAATATGAATAAATGACTATGACTAAGTATTGGTGTCTAGAGCTAAGTCATGTTTTATATGTTTAAGGAATTATAACTGACTATACTAACATGGTATGAAAAAGACTTAAAAATAAATACTTTTTTTGTTACCTCATGTAACATGAACAGGAAAAGGAGAAAATGAACCTTCAAGTGAAAACTATTTAACCAACACTGGGACAATCAAACAGTTAACCAGCAAATTACCTGGTCATATCCATAAGGCCTCTGCTGCGGTGGCTGTGGTGGTCCAGGTTGCGTTGGCCTATAACCCCCATACTGCTGACCTTGTCCCTGCGGGTAGTTAGGATACTGAGGACCTGGACCACCCTGTGAAGGACCTACAAAATAATGAACACAAACAAAAGTCCAGATAAAAATAAATCAAGTCCCTAGAATTCTAGGAGGGATTTAAAACTTGATGTCATTATATATTAATTTATAAACTAAAAAAAAAGTCTGATATATTGATTTTTTTGAATGCCTTTAGAAATAAATTCTAATGATTTCAATAAAAATCAAAATATTAAAAGAATACCACCAAGTACCAAATACTTTGGTTCAGATTAACTACTATGCCACAAGATAGCCACTGAAAACTTTTATGTCAAAAAGGGTAAAAGAGACTCGAGAGTTGTAAAGCAGGTCAACTCTAGGATATTAAAAAAGCTAATCTACCCATTTTAGAAAATTATCCAGTATAAAAGAGAAAGAAGAAAAAGCAAGAAACGAATTCAAATAAAAATACTCATAATTTCTAAATCAAGTTCAGAATCAGCGATAAAGGTATGACTCTAGATCTACCCTTATATTGATCAAATAACCACAAAGAATGATTCTATATATAATGATTCTATATATAAGTTCTAGATATAAATTCTAGATTTATATTTGCAATCACCAAAAGTTCTGCAGACAAACATATTATCACAATATTTTCATAAAGAAACAAAAGTCTTGAAAAGTCATGGGTTGCAAGTGAAAAAAACTTGATTAAAAAATTATACTCTGGGTGCCAATCACCTTTAATACTTAACCCATAAAAAATGAATGATTTCAAATCCTAACGATAACAAAGGAATAATATTGCTTGTCAAACAAATGTCTATTTTATAAATTCTGCTATCTATTGCAAACAATGTTTTATAAAGCATAAACTTTTCAGTTTCACACTTAAATGTTCTCTGTCAGTCATTCAAAAGTTGCCATAAAAAAACAGTGATTGCCACTTGTAATCAGGGAAATGCAAATCAAAACTACCATGAGATACCATCTCACACCAGTGAGAATGGCACATATTAAAAAAACTAGCAACAACAAATGTTGGCGAGGATGTGGAGAAAAAGGAACTCTTGTGCACTGTTGGTGGGAGTGCAAACTGGTCCAACCACTATGGAGAGCTGTGTGGAGATTTCTGGACCTACTAAACATAGAGCTTCCATATGATCCAGCAATTCCACTCCTAGGTATTTACCCAAAGGACACAGTAACATCAATTCCAAAGAGCACCTGCACTCCTATGTTTATAGCAGCACTGTTTACAATAGCTAAGCTTTGGAAACAACCCAAATGCCCAAAAATAGATGACTGGATCAAGAAGATGTGGTACATATATACCATGGAATATTACTCAGCATTCAAAAAAGATAAACACATGCAATTTGCAGCAACATGGATGGCACTGGAAGGGATCATGCTCAGCGAAATAAGCCAAAAAGAAAAAGAAAAATACCGGATGGTCTCACTCATAGCAGGAATCTAGAAAACTTAAATAAGGGACCAGGAAAATGAATATAAGAAAGTGAAAATCAAAATCAACAAAAAACTATGAACCAGAGACACTTTTTGGGGGGTGGGGGGCGGGAGGGGAAGGATTGGGGTCAGAATGGGGCGTTTGCAATTGTATGGGGGAATATAAAAATAAAATTTAATATTTAAAAAAAAAAAAAAAGAAAGCAAACATTGTAAAAAGAAAAGAACAATATGTAAAATACATATAAAAAAAAAAAAAAAAAACAGTGATTGCAATGCAACAATAGTTGCCCTAGAAAGTGTCAAAAAAATACACTTTCAAGCTTAAATAAATGTTATCAGTGTTTTGCTTCCTTATAGTCTAAATTTTATTAAATTTATTAAAACTCCAAATTATTATTAAAACTCTTAATCTATTATTAAAGAAAGTTTGACAGCCTGAAACCTGTGGGTAAGCAAAATGGGAACTTCTTTAAGATTTCTGATGTCTAATAAAATATTATTTAACTACTTTAAACAAATATTGAGTTTCTTTTACTTTCTCTTTCAACCAAAAATATTTCTCTTAAATCACTAATTTTGTAACATATTTGTTTTTATACGATTGCAATAAAATTAGAAAAATTATTTAAAGTACAAATATATAGTAGTCATGAAATGAAAAGGCCATTTAAGAAGAGAAAGAAGGTGCCTTTGTTTAAAATATAAAATCATGGAATTTTTCTAAAGTGACATCTGGAATAGGGAACCAGAATTTATCATTTTTGAGAAAATACCTCACGCCCAATACCTGACTGAATTTCAATGGATAGTTGATGGTGCAGGAGAATTTCATGCTGATCTTAGATCTCAGATTTGCTATCATACGTAGACAACAGCCCTATCAATGGCAGACACCCAACTAATAGATATTAAAGTGAGTAAATATATATAATAATGAAATATGATTATACTCCCACCGAACTGTAAGATATATAACTGCAATAAATACACTTCTACGGGGTCTCCCGGGTGGCGCAGTGGGTTGAGAACAGAGCTGTGAAGCTGTCCGCAGCCTCTGCAGCATGGCTTCGATTCCCAGCCAGCCAGGGAGAAACCCAAACGGCGGGGCAGACCTCTCCTGTCCCGCCCGCTGCTCCCCTCAGCAGTGTTTTCGGTCGTTCTGCCTGTTCTGTTTCCCACTCTGTCTCTGGTGAATTCTCTCTCCCTCCCACGCCTCTGGCCTGTACCCCAGTTCTTGCATAAATAAATAAATTAAAATAAAAAAATACACCTCCACGGATGCGTATACTACCTTATAACCAGAGAATGACAAAAACTTTACTATGTATTACAAATACATCTTTTTACTCTAAAAACCAATGTTATTTTTAATAGTCAGTCATTCGTTTTAGAAATGCAGATTATGTAGATATCCTTAATCATAACCCATTTCAATAGCTTTCCAAGCACACAAAGTTACCTGGCTTGTCTTAAATGCCAACTAGGTTTTAAGAATTAATTTTTCTTGTATTTTAAGTGACTATATATCACCTTATCTTTAGTCAAAGAACCACCTCTAGTTTATCTTTCTTTTTAAATGGATTACTAGTTTAACAACATTCTAATAAAAATAAGCTCAAATTATACTTTCAAAAATGATAAAACGGGCCTCCATGGTGGCGCATCGGTTGAGCGCTGGGTTGCGAAGCTGCCCGCGGCCTCTGCGACGCCGGTTCAATCCCAGCAGCTCCCCGGCCACCAGAGGAGGGTCCCACATGGCGCGCAGACCTCTCCTGCCGCCCGCTGCTCCCCTCAGCAGTGTACTTCGGTCCTTCTGCCTGCTCTGCTCCCAGCTCTGACTCTGGTGAATTCTCTCACCCTCCCGCGCTTCTGACTATACCCAGTGCATGTATAAACAAACAAACAAACAAACAAATAAATAAATAAATAAAACATGCCTCTATTAAAAAAAAAATGATAAAACCCACTTCCATATTTCAAAATATTAATCATCACATTTTTGGGAGACAAAAATAAACTGTATGGAGTTATTACCATAGCCCTGCTGCTGTCCTGGATAGCCCTGCTGCCCAGGGTACTGCTGCTGCTGTGGGGGATATCCCTGCTGGGGAGGTGGTCCTTGATAAGCATCTTGCTGCTGGCCATACTGTGAATTTCCTACGGGGTAAGTGGAAAAGAGGAAAAAGCCTGAGAAGTTTGCTTAATTAACTTTTTTCCTCTAAGATGCATAGCCAACAACACAAGAACAAAATAAAATGCCATATTGATTTTTAAGTTAACAAAACAAAGAAAAAAACTCAAACCAAACAGAAGGATTTCGGCCAAACAAACTGCAGTTAAAGCCAATTTTGCAAGGTTGAACTGCAGCATTTTCAGCGTCTCTGCCATACGAGCATTACATTTACTGGAACATCACAGTCATAAGATCATGACTATGCTAAATAAAATAAAAAAGACAAAATTAAAGACAGCTACAAGAGCACATACTAGCTACACAAGATCAGCAAGCTGTTTCCTAAAGGCACTATACTTGTATGTAAAATTATACATATGTAAACAAGAACAAGAAAAGAAATTGGAGTGATGGATTTATATTCAAATAGAAATTTTCCACTGAGAAAAAAATCATTTTTAAATGTTTAGTCTTTTTATTGTTGTTAGAAATGGCAAGTCATGGTTATACATTTTAAATATTTGTAAGGAAATTATTTTGATTTATCTGGACTCCCTATAACTTTCAAGACAGCCAGCAACTAGTATTCTACAAGAGCTTTGCATGGGTAGAAGTTATCTTATGCAAGAATTTTCATTCCTGTAGAAGGGGATATATACGTGTATGTGTGTGAAGGTATATAGATACCTCCTTCGTAGTAATGTTGTGAGGAATCCTCATAAGGCCTATCGTAGCCTTGTTCAGGATACGACGGTTGCTGATAACCGTAATCATTATGACCTACATCAATTCGACAAGAGACAGGAAGAAACGTTAATGGCCACTGAGTGAAAACCCTAAATATATTTCAACTTTCAGATAAAATTGAAAAAAAAAAAAAAAGAAAATAAATGGAAATACATAAAAAATAATTTCAATTGCATTAGCCAAATATTTACCAATAGGACTGTTTTCATATTAAGGTAACGTGCAGTTTTTTTTAAAAGCACAAAACAGTAATTTTAGAAACATTACACTTCTTAGTCTTAACTCTGATAATCCTCATGGGGAAGGAGGGGAAACTTTATCTTACATTAAAAAAAAAAAGAGAGAACGAAAGCATTTAGGCCTTTCACATGTAAATAACTTGAATTAAATTACAATGAACAAAGGAAGCAATTATCATATTTTGTCAAACACCTGTTCTGCTGGTCGCCAATTCCACAGCATATGCTAAAACAATGCAAAATATAAAAGAGTTCCATAAGTTTTTTTTTTTCCCCTGAAAGAAACTGAAACAAATTTTATATTCTATTTACTTGCATAAAGTATATGTTTCTTGAAATATTTTCAGATGCAAAAATATATAGCTTAATACTGCCATTCTAGAGGTCTACAAAAAATATTTCTAAAGTATAAAGAAATGCACCTCCATAAAATTAATACTGCGTTTAAGTTCTAGAGTACAACTTTAGTTTCAAAGCATGGTAAATTTCATCTGCAAAGTGACCAGACTTTAATGCAAATCAGTCTTTTTAACTAAGTTGCACATAAAAAATGCAGGGAATAATCTTTTAGTTAGCTAAATTCTGCATTAAATTTTAGGAGAATGTCCAAGGAAGGAGGAATACAGTTATGAATAAATGTTATCATCAGTGCTTTAGCATTGTAACATTTCAAACAACCTGAGATAAATATCTACATTAAGGGCTGGCAAACTGTGGCCTGCTTCTAAACAAACCAGTGGTTTGTTTTCATAAATAAAGTTTTATTGGAAGAGTCATGCCCATTCATATTTTCTATAGTTGTTTTCATGCTGTGAAAAGAGTTCAATAGATGAGACCAAGACCACATAGCCCACAAAGACTAAAATATTTACTCTTTGGCACTTTACAAAAAATGTTTGCCAACTCCTAATCTACATATTTATTCACATAAATATCTGAATATAATGAGAAAATATCTAATGCTGTTTAAAAAAATTAACTCATTATACATGGAAGCAACACTTTGTAAACATCAGACAATAAACATCTATGCAAAAATGACACCATTTAAATTCTAAAATCCCCTCATATTATAAGATTTAAAGTAACCTTAAAGTTATTATATTTACAAACTAACGTGTTTTGAACAGTAAAGTCATATTTACAACAAAACAAATTTCACATTCAGAAAATACTTAAGACCAATTTATAATTAGGGTCAAATTCAACTCAGTTACTTAAAATGCATTTGAAAAATTAAACAATCACTTATTTTCAACACTGTCTAGTGCATAAATTTAGTAACAGATCCAGCTCTTAGGTTATCCATGTCTATAAAGCTTACTAGTTTTTCACTAAAAAAAGGTAACACAATGTGAATGGAAAATTTAAAAAAAAAAACCATTTTAAATAATTCAAGGCAAGAAAATCTATTAAATTTTTTTAACCAGATATATCTATACATATAATCACTATCATTTGTAAACATTTATTTTATACAAAATTCTACAGGTTGAATGTTTGCTTTGTCTGTATAGTCAGAGTCTCTGCAGTGAAAACCAGTGTCCTTATATGGACCTCTTTCTATGCTTTATACAATAACAAAAAAAAAGTGGGCAAAAAGAATTCTCAAATATACCAAAATATTTCTTCTAGATAGTTAACATTAGCTTCTAGCGAATAGTCCCTTTAGCTTTAAGTTCTTTGATTCCCCAAATTTTTCTGTTACGTAGTATATCTTAAACACAAGAGAGTTTACTATATATAGAAATATTTTGGAAAATCCTTTCATAACAAGACTAATCATCTGGTAATGTAAGTGAACAACTCCAATTTATCAGTTTTATATGTTTCGATTGTTTCTTCAACACTGTATCATACATAATATCTTTAACAGAACAGAAAAAGTGAAAGATGTGTAGCAATATAAGCTTATGTGTATGCTCGGTTTATATTTAATAGAATATATCTTTAATCACTTTTTCACAACACCTTTCTTACTTAAAAATACTATTACTATTAAACTAAACAACTAAAATTAAAACCTGATTTCCAAATGCCTTTCCAAATTTACTAACTGTAAATAGCTATATTGTGAATATAATTTAGCTTCCAAAGTTTTCTCAAATGCAAATGCTAATGTATATAAACATTACTTCTTTGAGAAGTATGCAACATTAAAATGATGGAACTTACAAGAACTATATTCTCTGTATTTATTTAATGCACAGCAGCAAATCAATGGGTGAACTTTAGCATGTAAATGATTTCAATCTCAATTTACTTTGGTTCAAATTAACAATTCCCAATATAAAAGAATCCTTCTATGCAGAAAAAGGATTCCAGTGACACAATGTGATTCCTGATGGTACCAAACAGGGAACAGCTAAACAAAACGTACTTTGAAATAGAATGTAAACTAATAGCTATTATTAGCTTTAGATTGAGATGTTTCTAAATTAGAAGAAACGGATAGTTTCTTCAACCTCATTCAAATGTTCTGAATAGCCATCTACATTAATATTGGGTAGGGATAGAAAATGGGAAAGTTAGCATTAGGAGAGATTACCATCAGGGTAATATTGCTGGTTCATGCCTTCAGGAGGACCTTGTCCACCATGACTGTATTGGTCCCCATAATAGTCTTCCTGGCCTGAGTACTGCTGTGGTGGGCCTGAAAAACCACAACCAGTCAAGATGTAAACAATTCATTCTGTATGTCATCGAAAGGCTTTCTTTTGAATCTGATGCTGAGAGATTATTTCTCAACTGCAGATTCCCCTCCCATGTTTTGGCACTTCAGATCCTTTTAACTATTCTTATACACATACATACATAAACACACAGCAACATCATACATACATTTCACAAAAATTAATCTTAAGACCATACAGGCAATATCAAACAACACCAACTAAAGAAAATAAAACAGACTTCTAAAAAAGAGGTGCAAAATGGTAAAGAAATTAATCTCCCTTTTTTTTTTTTTTTGGATATTAGAGCAGTTTGAAATAAAACTGGGTTTCTGACCTCATACTAACTTATCAAAAAATAAAGCATAATTTTCGGCTGTAAATTAGTGAGCATTTGATACAAATTTTATGATGTAACCTGTCCCCAAAAAAGATAAAAGGTGAAAACCAGAAAGTTCCTATCTACTTCATAACCCTTTTGTATCTACTATATCCACTACCTTTTTACTGTGGGGAAGGGTATGTGTGTGAGTGTGTGTGTCTATGTGTGTGTGTCTGTGTGTATATATATGTATGAATGTGTGTGTATACAAATAGATATAAATATATAAAATTTAAAAGTCCTTACTTTGCCTAAATTAGAAGTCCATTAAAGTTTAAAGTCTTTCAACTATTGTTATTTACGCAAGCAGGAAATTTTCCAAATTGAATCTTACCCTGTTGAGGTGGTCTATAGGGAGGAATCTGTCTCTGACCCATCATATGATTGCCTTGGTTAACTTGACCCATCATTCCCATTGGTGGCTGCTGGCCTTGGTAATGCTGCCCACCTCCTTGTGGCATATTGTACTGTTGAGAAGGAGGCTGCTGATGCATCATTGGACCTGAAAAGCAGCAAAATATTATGGACAAAATATTTTTAAAATCTTTGAGAGAAATAAAAAGATCTTTTATTATATAATCCTCAAAATACATAATGTATGGTAATAAAAATTAACTTCAAATAAAAAAAATCTCTGGAGTTAAAGGTTGTAAGTCTAAATAACCTACAAACAAAGGAAAACAACAGAGCTGTGGTGGTTTGAAAATTCACTGGACGAGCATTCTAGCAATTTTTTGAAAAACAAAACAGATACAGGATATGAACATCCTAAAAGTATGCTTTTCTCATTCTCTTCTATATAGTATTTATCTACACATTTTTTCCAGAAAAGGTAGAATACATATGACACACAAGAATATACAGTAAAATAAACTTTACAACAACAACAACAACAAAACCACACAGCAAATGAGTTGTCAAACTGTAACAGGGTGGTCCCCAGGAAAGGGGGAAGTTCCAGGTTCCCTGCCCCACCCAAGGAAGGCTGGAGCTGAGCAGGAAGAGGAGAAGCTGCAGAAGAGACTGAGGAAGGAAGCAGGATGGAGCAAGGAGACCTGGAGGAGGCGCATGGAGCCTAGAGACACGTGAAGAAACTGCGCTTGTCTTTTGGTCGTGGACTAGGTGACACAAATGTGGGTGAGACCCGTGGGGAGGTGACAATGGCAGCTTTTATCTTGATGTTGATTTTGCTCTTTTCCTTCCGGGCTTGTCCAGTTGTTTGTGACCCTTTTCTGTGGGTCCCCACTGGAAGATGCTTTAGACTTGTAGCAGGCTTTGGGGCCTTGTTCTGGGCCAATCCCATTTGGATGGACTTTTACCCACGAGGGGACGGGTAACTCTGGATGCTTCATTTAGAAACTAGACTCTTTGCCTTACCTGTATTGTTTCCTAGTTTTATTAAAGTTCCTTCCCATTAAAGTCTCCTATGTTTTGTGTTGATGCGGTGGATGGCAGAACCCATGTAGAATAGGCAGGTTTGCGGGGTTTGGGCTGCCCCTCTCCCTGTCCTATAACAAAACCAGCTGGAAAAAACATCTAATTTCTGATTATTGTTTTCTTTTTAGTTTTACAATCCCCACTCATATAATGATAGTCAGGGCAACAAAAATTTCATAAATTTTAATTTTAGAACAAAATTTTAAAGGGTCTTCTTTCCTATTTCAAACTAAGATTTATAAGCTAAAAAGGTCTTTCTAATTTCAAAGGGCTGTAATACTTCTAACACAAAAATATTCCTAAACAAAGAACTGCAAATAGGTCATATACTTAGAAACCAGAACCAAGCATTCTCTAAAATGGTGAATATAAAAGTAGTCAAAATACCACTATGACTGCTCTAGTATCACAGAGATAGCAGTAAAATGTGAATTAATAATAATGGACACAAAGTTCTATGTGGCCATCCAACAATATAAGCAGCTCCTCACAGGTTCAATGGGCCAAATTACCATTTGTGGAGCTTAACATTCTGTCCGTATAGCCATTACAGTCTCAGAAATATGTGTGGATCATCCCCCAGTTTACTGCTTAAATGTAACTTCGTATTCCTCCTTTAATGACTTGGAGGCGATTTAAGTAGTACAAAAGAGAAAGGACTAGAGAGCTTAGGAAAGTATTACAGGTAAAATTGCCCAGGTGAGCCAAAAATCCATTGGTAAAGTACTTAAACAAAAATTCAAAACAAACAAGTTCACCTACCTAAATATATTACTGACCTATGATAGCAGCAATAATGTAAACAGAAAGAATTCAATTCTTCCAATTTGATACTGTATTACCTGAGGAAGTATTTTATCAGAGCTAACTCTTTTTCTCCTATTGGCCTTTTTTTTGTTCCACTTATTTTCAAATTCCTTTTTCCTTCTAATTTTATCATAAATATGAGCCTTTCAGAGGTTACTCTGGGATTTTTCTTTCAACAGGAAGTAAACTCTTAATAGTAGAGATAAGCTAGCTCAGAGGAGAACAGAGGGGAAGAAAACAAAGACTGAATGTACTTACACTGCTAAACATGCTTTCACATTTATTTCATGTAAATCATTAACAACAACCAGAGGTAAGAATCCTAATTTTCAAGTTTCTAGCCAAGGAATCTAAAGATTAAAACTACATAACTAACACATATCAACTGGGAATCAGATAAAACACAAATCTGATTTCAAAGCACATTATTCCACTATTTCTCAAGGCTTTATTCAAACTATAGCAAATTTATTAGTTCAGAAGTAAATAATGCAAAAAGTTCCAAACATGAACAGGTTTTAATTTAGGTTACAACTTTTAAAATAGTTTGTACACATTATCAAATAGTAGCATTTATAATGTAATAGACAGCATGGTTGAGCATTTATGTAATTCATTTTCAGTAAATGAAGGTTTTGTCCCGTTATTCTTCTCCAGCACTGATTAAAGACCTCTCATCTTTAAGTTAGCTTAAAACTAAAGCATATACTTTGCAATGGAACCAAAACTAAAAATATGTAAGGGAGAAAGCAAAAACATGATAACCATGGAAAAGATCAACAGGATACAATAATGATAAATTTTTAAGTTTTCTTCTGAAGAAGTAAAGTAAGTCTAGCTTAAGCCCTAGCTAAAGACCATGTCACTTGTGCTTGATCTTTTGGGACTGTCAGCAGTTCTAATCCCAAAGAGCTCAATTATCACCTTCCTTTTATTCTGTCACTCCATCCCTCTGAGGATCCTCAGTATCGTTCAGGATCAAGCTTAAAATCATCGTGAATAGAAGAGAATAGCACTGCTAAAACATGGTGCTTTTCATCTTTTTTCTTGAAGCTTTCTTCTTTAAAAAAAATTATGACTTCAATTCTGATTGTTTTGGAAGTATGTTATTTTCCTTATGATAATAAAGTATGCTATACTCGTATTGTACATTATCCCTTGAGATACTAATGGAAATAAGAAAGCTAAATTGCAAAAGGTTACCCCAAAACACATTTCAAAAATGTGTCACAGAGTAAAGTAAGATTACAAAATGAGTCTATTTTAAACATTTTGTACAAACAGTGGTATCACATTACTATAAGCTTTAAGGTCATTCTTCACCTCTTACATATATCATTTTCAAGCTAAGATGTACTCAAAAGTAGTGATATTCTAACGGTCTATGGAAAAAATGTCCAACATCTTAAATACATGGAACATATTCTCTAATCACCATATTATTGGGATTCTTTGCTCCTATGGGTAAAGAACCTTAATTTATGCATCGTAATTTACTGGTCAGATAGAATAATTTCTTGAATGACACTTAAGATAACACTAAGAGCACAAGGGACTATGGACTGGTGTTGGGAATTCTATGGGGACTACACCTGAGAGGAGAAAGCATATATTGTACAAAAATGAACAATGATACAAATATATAAATTGTATAAAAATTTTTAAAGATAACATTAAGTTTTAAATAATTTTGTGAAGAATTTAGAATTATGTAATTTTTTAAAATTCCATATATACACATATTCACATCTTCAGATGCAATACATTCCATACATCAAAACTCTATAAAGTCATATTATTAACCTATGAATTATTTTAAACAAAAATTTTAAATAACAGTTAATAAGCACTTATTATAGGCCAGGCACTAAGCTAAAAGCTTTATGTCTATTATCTATCTTCTCAAATCCCATGAAACATGTAGTATTATCATAATTTCACTTTACAGACATTATCTGTACCCAAAGATACATAGTTAGTAAATGGTGAGAACTCTAAAGTCATTAGACTCTAAACTCTTAGCCACTTTCAAAGTCAAGTTATATTTCTCCTATATAATGTCATCTAGGAAAAGTTCTATAAAATATCTCTCTCACTACAAAACATATCTCTATCACTGTAATATAAAGATCCTAAGATAAATTTTTTCACCCTACCTATATCTATGATATAGTAAGAATTAGAAACTATATAGATAATACTCTCCAATGTTTTCTCACTCATATTTCATCATTCACTCATATTTTCTTATTTGTTGCTTAACTATTCAATATCAAACTATTTATGGCTCTCATCTGAAGGCATTTCTAACAGTCTATTTGCAAGAAAAAAAATTCTTGTATTTCAGCAAACTCAATCATCTAACCTATTACATAATCATTTAAAATGAATAAAATTCCCCACCTAAAATACAGATCTCTCCTTATTAAGAATTTCAAGTAGTCATAAGTTTAGATAAACTACCCAAGATAAAAATAACAAGAATGAAGTAACTAAGAAAATCCCAAAGGTTTAATAGTCACTATAGTTATATAAACTTAGCTGAGTTTTCTAACAATGAAAATAGAACCACGATAGTTTTTAGCTAGTAAAAAGAAACCGTTCAAGACATACAAACTCTTTCACAACATGAAATTTTAAGAGACATTCTCATGAAAGTATTTAAAGGTATTAAAATAGTATAAATAAATTTTATTATCATTTGTCCTTAGTAACACAGACCATCTTTACATGTAATTCCTTACAGCAAACATTTATTAAAGCTGGGATTCCTTATTGTGGGAGGTTTTGTCCCTCAGGGACATTTTTAGCAAAATGTAAACTTTCTCGCTGTCACATCTGGCGAGGAGGTACTACTGCCACCTACTGGGTACAAGAGGAAGAACATTGCTAGATATCTGAATGCACAGGTCAGGTCTCCACAATAAAGAATTATGCAGCTCAAAAAGTTTGCAGTACTGATTAAGAAATCTTAGATTCTCAAGGGCATAATTTTAAATCATAGGCATTCTACAAACTATTTTGGGAATTAGACTTTTTAGCTTTTAGATTGAGAATTAGGAAAAGGCTGTGCTATGGTTTAATAAATCAAACAAAATAAAGACTAGGCAGTTTTTTAAGAGTTAGACAATCCCTCTTAAACAGTTTCAACCACATTATATAATAAAAATAATTCAAAACTAAAGTCACAGCTAAACATCTATCATAGATTGAATGAAACTCCCAAAGCTCTAGATTCTAGGGTCCGTAGGCTACATT